ATATGTCAAGTTTCTTACTAGATATCAGCATTAGGGAGAGAGGACTTGCACATATATGTTAAGTTGTGAGGTTAAAAAAAAAAAAGAGAGAAAGAGCAACATGACAAGGTAAAGTAGGGCAGAGTATGAAAAATCAGAGCAGGCAGCACAAGTCTCTTTGACACTGATGCATAAAAATTCTTTCTGAAGAAATCTAGATGAACAGCCCATGCTGTCACAGACAGTAGTGACCCCTCAGATTCTTAGTATTAACAGAGCTATTTTGGAGGCTCAAAAGTATAGGGCAGCATTGGCTGCTCTCAGACAACAAAACTGAGCAGAAAGGTTTCAACTGGATACATCATTTCATAGAAGAGAGCTGCTGAGGTTGTGCTCCTGACAAATACATCCCATCAACTCAGGGAAGTCAGCTTCTCCACTTCCAACAAGAAAGCTAGGAAGCTTGGGGTCCTTCAAATACAAAGACTACTTTGATTTTAGTGTGAATAATTTTATCCCCAGCGATGTCTGGAAGCTACACCTAACACACAAGGCCATAGAAGGTCTCAGTCATAGGCCAGATGCAGTGGTTCACACCTGTAATCCTAGCACGCTGGGAGGCTGAAGTGGGTGGATCACCTGTGGTCGGGAATTTGAGACTAGCCTGGCCTACATGGTGAAACCCTGTCTCTACTAAAAATACAAAATTAGTCGAGTGTGGTGGTGCATGCCCGTAATTCCAGCTACTTGGGAGGCTGAGGCAGGAGAATTGCTTGAACCCAGGAGGCGGAGGTTGCAGTGAGCCGAGATTGTGCCATTGCACTCCAGTCTGGACAATAAGAGCAAAACTCCGTCTCAAAAAAAAAAAAAGAAAGAAAAAAGAAAAAAAAACTTCAGTCATATCTGAGAGATTAAGAAAAATATATATATCAACACTGAGATGGGCATGTTGCGTCCAGAATTGGGTGTGTTCTTGGTCTCGCTGACTTCAAGAATGAAGCTACAGACCCTCGCAGTAGTACAGTTCTTAAAGATGGTGTGTCCAGAGTTTGTTCCTTCAGATGTTCAGACGTGTCCGGAATTTCTTCCTTCTGGTGGGTTCATGGTCTCACTGATTTTAGGAGTGAAGCTACAGACCTTCGAGGTGAGTGTTACAGCTCTTAAAACCAGGGCGTCTAGAGTCGTTCATTTCTTCCGGTGGGTTCCTGGTCTCGCTGGCCTCAGGAGCGAACCTGCAGACCTTCAAGGTGAGAGTTACAGTTCATAAAGGCACTGTAGACCCAAAGAGTGAGCAGCAGCAAGTGTTATCACTAAGAGCAAAAGAATAGAACCTCCACAAGGTGGAAGGCAAACCCCAGCAGGTTGGGCCTGCTGATGCGTGTGCCCTGCTTTTATTGCCTTATCTGACCCCACCCACATCCTGCTGATTGGTCAATTTTACAGAGAGCTGATTGGTCTGTTTTACAGAGCGCTGATTGGTCCATTTTGACACAGTGCTAATTGGTGCGTTTACAAACCTTTAGCTAGACACAAAAGTTATCCAAGTCCCCACGAATTAGCTAAACACAGAGCTGATTGGTGCCTTTACAAACCTTTAGCTAGACAGAAAAGTTCTCCAAGTTCCCGCCTGACCCAGAAGCTCAGCAGGCTTCACCTCTCAATGGCATCGCCTCTCAACTGTATGGGCCATGGGACTTTGCGGCACCTAGCCTGGGCACTCAGGCAGCCCAGAGGGAGCTCGTCCCCTGACCAAGCCCAGCAAGCCGGCTGCTTCCAGTACGGGGCCCGCCGAGCCCGCACCCACCCGGAACCCGCGCCCGCTCGCGAGCTCGGCGCGCAGCCTGGGCTCGCGCCAGCGCCTTTCTCTAGAGGGAGCCGGCTCCAGCCTTGGCCAGCCCCAGAGAGGGGCCCCCACAGCGCAGCGGCGGACTGAAGGGCTCCTCGAGCGCGGCCAGAGCGGACGCCGAGGCCAAGGAGGCGCGGAGAGCGTGCGAGCAACTTGTGCTAGCAAATTGTCACATCTTGGTGTTATATTTCATTGTTAAGGTGATTTTTGTATTTATTGCTCGGTGAGGAAATAACCAGCAGTAAAGGGGCTATGTTTTGAGTAATCCTGGTCACAAGAGTTAGGAGGTGAGGGGATGGAATAGATGAAGGAACCCTTTCCCTCCCGAAGACCCTGGATGCAATGCCCTCTGGTGACAACATTGAATCTCTCTTTTGGTGTCAGGAACATAGGGAAAACCTTATTCTTCATTTGGAGGAACTGTGGGAAAAAAACCAGGTTATGCATTTCTCCAGCTCACCTAAGCACTTGTGCATTCTAATATTGCTGACTCTGGCCATGAAGAGTTATTTATTCATAAGGTGTCAAAGAAAATCTTGAAGCCTTCACTGATAGTGAAGAGAAAGATCTCCCACCTGGCTAGGATGGGTGAAGAAGCTGTCCAGAAAGAAAATCAAGAAATTTACTCAATATTTAAATGAGTGAGATGAAATAGGAGCCACTGAGCAATGACTTACACCCACATTCATAAAATAAGGAGCAAAGGAAGAGGGACAGGAAGCAGAAAGTCTGGAGAGGGGCATAACTGCCTGTGAGTTTTTTCATTAGCGTCACCTCAGTAAGAATGTGTTCGATTTTGCAAGAGGTTAAAAACATTTGCTCGCTGAAAGCTGGAACAATATGATTAAAAATGCAATTTTTAATCAGCTTGTAGAAGTGTCTACCATAGTACTGGACATTGTGATGCATACCCAAATCCCTTTTCTTCAGGACAAAAGCATTCATCCCCCAGATACTGATAATGGTAATGGTTGAAAACTCAGAGCTAAGCCCCTCCCCGATAGCTGCTCTTGAATAAAGAAAGTCCCCTTATCCAAAGTCATATTATTTGCTTGGCATTGCCACATCCAAATGTGAGAGCACAGAACATGCATTACTTTTGCTGGAATCAGAAGTGCCTCTTTCAACTATCTCATCTCTGGCTTTACTGTCAGTTTTGCAATCAACCTTTATAATTCGTTATGGATCTCTTGGTATTGTCATCTGGCTTTTTCAAGGTTGCCTAATTGGAGCAACTGAAGGAAGAAAGGAAGGAAGTTTTTTGAAAAAGCGAGGTTTTGTTTGTTTGTTTGTTTGTTTTTGTATTTGTCAGTATCCCCCATCAATAGTGGTCCTTTCAGGACCTTCCAACACATTTACAATCAGTTCCCTGAGTTAAACTTTATTCTGTTTGAAATATCTATAATATAGTAGTTTCTATTTTTCTTAATGGATGTTGACTCAAAGTACTAAATATTCAGAGGGGATGGGAAAGCAATTATTTATGAGATTAACTATCTTCCGAAAAGGCATTTGGTCTATTAGTGGATCTTGACTTTTTGTGACATTGTTGAAGTTTCCAATTTACCAACTTCAAAGAAGTCACTTAACTTCTGAGTTCTTGTTTCCTTCGGTGTCAAATGAAGGGCTTAGACTTCATATCCTTTAAGATGTTTTTTAACTTTAAATGTTATGAATCCAGAGAAAATGAAGGTATTGAATTCTCACTAATCCCTAAATTTTTTCATGTGTAAACATCAGGCTCAAGAACCAATAATAGAAAGATCAGATAGCAATGGATTTACAAGTATAATTATTTGGGGGATGCTTGATATTTTAACGCAAGTCAGCAAGCAGTATATCATACTACAAGTAATAAGAAATCCAGAAATAAAACATATTTTAAAGGTAACATAAAGTACTTTACACATTCAGTCATAAGGGATTGCCACTTGTTTGTCACAGAAAGTAAAATGTAAGCTGTGCATTCTTTCCTGAAAGTCTAAAGCTAACAGAGTGTAGTACTGACATTATATTCTAAGACATTCCAAGTCTGAAGCTAACAGAGTATAGTACTGACACTGTATTCTAAGACATTCCAAACAGACAACTAATCTTGTAATAAACAGAAAATGGATCACTTGTCACAGTCAGTAACTGATGTAACTAATAATCAAGACATGCATAGATGTCATTTCATAGAAATACCCTGCTATGTGAGTGTTAGCAACTTGAATATTAATATCTCAAAAAATACTATTGCTGTCATTTAAAGACATAGCAAAATGTGATTGAAATCTGAAATCTGTTTGGCATAGGTGTATTTTAGAGTCATGGAAGCTGTTGAGATCATGCTCACAGTTACATATCTAGTGAGAAATATTTTTTAGCTGTATAAATACAAGGTTTAACCCTCATCAGCTATCTTTTGTCCAAACCATAATCATGCAAAATTACTGGTAGTGAGAGCTTTCGTTACTGGCATCCACAGAGTAATTTATAACGTTAGAAAGGCCTTTGCCATTTTCCTAATTGATGCTCTAAGTTGGGATTGCATTTGGATCTATCATTGTCACTTGGTTGTCACACAGAGTCCAACATAAGCTGTGCATTTTAAATATCATTGCTATATATGCTGTTTCTTATGGTTCAGCAAAGCAGCAAGCACACGTTTGAATTCATCACATGTAACGACAATGCATTCAAACCTTCAAATTAGTATTCAGAATTGGAGTGAATTATCTTGGAACTAAACAAAACAACCTTAAATAGAGGAAGTGATATTACCTTAAAATAAATTGATCTTCAGTTTTATTTGAAAGCTGGCCATTAATCCATGCTAATCTTATTTAAGCCATATCATACAAATTTTGAAAGACTGTTTATAAAATATGAGGTTTTTAATAGTTGTTTCCTCAAATATTATCAACTATTGAACAACTTTTGTTGAGTATAGATAGAATGGAACTCTTTTAAATAATATGCAAAACTCAATTGTCACATATAATGCATTCTAAAATAATACAAACTACATTATAATATGAACAAACCGAGCATAAAAATCACATATGTGCCTCTAATTCCAGCACTTTGGGAAGCCAAAGAAGGTGGATCACATGAGTTCAGGAGTTCGAGACAAGGCTGGACACCATGACAAAACCCAATCTCTACAAAATATAGAAAAAGTAGCTGGGTGTGGTGGCGCGTTCCTGTAGTCCTAGCTACTTGGGAGGCTGAGGTAAGACGATTGCTTGAGCTCAGGAAGCAGAGGCTGCAGTGGGCTGAGATTGCACCATTGCCCTCCAGCCTCAGTGGCAGAGCAAGACCCTGTCTCAAAAAAAAGAAAAAAAAATGTTAGGCATATAATTGGCATATTTATGCATCACAAAATCTCCTACATTTATCTTCCAACAAATTCTGAGTTCTAGAAACTAATTTTACATAAACTATAATGAAGTATTCTCTTATATAATATACCTTATAGGCAAGATTAAAAAACACATTTATATCTCAGTGTATTAGTTATATATTACTAACAAATTATTCCAGTACCCATGGTACAATTTCTGATCATAAAGTTATGTATTTGAAGAGGTAAGTGTACTTATTCAAGTGAATGAAACATTATTAGTCTCCCTTGCTATGGAAACAAATTACATATTTTAATCTCAACAATTTATCAGAAATGGATCCAGTATAATAGCAACAATGAATAAAACATTAAAGATATGTGTATAAAATATATGCAGATAAAATCTACTGAAGTATTATTTTCAAATGTGCAAAATAGTTGATAAAACCTGCTCAAATGTTTTAAAAAAAAAGAAATTTGAGGTCTACAAGCATTAGGTCATAGATAATAAATCATTTGTTTCTGGTTGTTAATTTGTATTAGCATATATGGGTTAAAGCCACAATTATTTTGAAGATGTTTCATAATGTGTTGTCTACAGATTTTCTCTAGGCCCAAAATCTAACTTAAGAGCTTGACATTCCAGTAACAAGAAAAGCCTATTCAGAAAGAAGGAGCAGGTCACAGAGCATAAAAGACAAAGCAAGAGGGCCTAAGAGGGGGTCCTTCAGTGCTCACTTTCCTCCTGCCTTATTTTGAAATCCATAATTTTTCTCTGCACAAAGCCAAATGCTTTTTGGAAGTTTGCAGTTTAGCAGACTCATTTGTGAAGTAATTGTTTTCTTCAACATAAGCTAAAGCATATACTCTGTTGATGTTGAAAGATATGCTGTTTCCTATCACAAAATTTATTTCTGTAACATGAGAAAGATATAGAATATATTTGTTTTTATTTACACTGTAAATTTATTTGGCTAAGAACTAAACAAAAGATTATGGTGTTTAAATTTCATTCTCTATTTCCTTTGAGGCTTTTCCCTTTGAAGATGTAACATCCATCCTCTCACCAGTATTTTTATGGCATAATTTGGGACTCTATTTTATATTAATATTTTTTCAGTTATTTTGTCAACATCATGCCCCAGTAAAATGGGACAATTTCACCACCTTTTTCCGTTGCCTCCTTCATTTTACCTTCATGGAGAAAGACTGCGCTTTACCTGTCAAGTTCAAGGATGCAGATTAGGGTTCAGAGTGTATGGAATGATGGTTATTTTTTGAACTTCATATTCTCTAAGGTCTGAAGACATAATCAGGATCTTAGACTACAGCTGTTTCATGAAAGCACATTCACCTCTCTGTCTTTGTCACTTCCCCCCACCTCCTCTGACCATGCTCTGTCCCATGCGGCTGGGACACTCAGATGAACAGCTAGACTGCACTTCTGCTCAGGAGATGCCTTGGTGAGAACACTCGGAAGAAAGGGACTAGCCATCGAGCTGCTCTCTAGCCATAGGATTCTCTTGATCTATTGTTTAACTTTTATCTGTTGATTTTTATTATCTTTATTTCCTGCTAGAGCTATAGGATTCATGTTTATTTTAGTTTGTGAGCTGAGAAGCCAACAAAAATTGAACCATTCAACCTGCTTTTGTTCTAAGCCCTGGCTTGTTTTGAACCTAGGTAAAAAGAGATCTGCAAGTGCTTCCATCTACCTCACCATCGGCCGCACAGAGTTTGCTGACCTGGCACACTGTTCTTCACAGTAATTGCTTTCTGAACTCCAGAAATGGGTACTTTTTAAAGGACAAGATTGTAGGCTCTTGATGTCTCCCCTTCTCCTTTCCTATTTATCTTTCTCTGCTTTACAAATTTATGGCATTTATATTTATGTAAATATATTATATGTGTTTTATTTATTTATATAAATATGTCTGCTATATTTAAATTGATCTATACATAAAAAAGTAGATAGACAAAGATATAAACTAGATATAGATACAGCCCTTTTAAATAAATATCACATGTTCAAAAAATTGAAGGCTTTGAATAATGATAAATAGGATTCATATTAGTAGGCATCACAATATTTAAACATGTAAGGACATAAGTAGATATTAAATGTCATGTCTACTTTAATAAATGTAAATGTAAAGAAAGAATATTTCAAAATCATAATAGTCATTGTATACTTGTCATGCAAAGTAGATTGGGAGAAAGATTATCTGTCAAGATGAGAACAAAGGACTCAGGATGGATTACTAAACCTCATGTAGAAACTAATGATAATAAAAAAGATCTACTGAAAACGTTTGACAATATGGTTTTCAGCTCCAGACTGCACTTAGATATCCCCACCATAAAACTTTTCCCAATGTTATTCTCAGCAGAATTTGGAAACTCCCTTGACTTTGGAGCCTTCTTTTTGAAACTTCTTTTTGTTTTATATTAATATAAGTAAACTATTTAGAGTCAGGATATCTTTGAGCTATAATTTCTTCCTTGGAAATAGTGTAAAGATATCCACATATGTGTTGCTTAATAAATTATTTTTTGGATGAATACCATTATTATTCACAATTACATGAATAAAACAGATTTATACCAATGGACCTTCAAAACAAAAAAATTCAAAAAAAAATTCATTTGTTCAACAATACTTATCAAGTGCCAGACACTGTTTAGGCACTTGGGATATATTATTGAATTAAATATACAAGAATTCCTGTGTTCATATAGCTTACATTTCAGTAAGAAAGATAGATAATAAATAATAATCATAAAGAGTTAATAAAATTAGGTTAAAATATGATAAGTGCAATGGAGAAAAGAAAAACCAGGAGAAGTTAAAGGCCATAGAGAGTGGGGACCTGGGTGTGGGGAGAAGAGATCACTCATGTAATGTCAGTCAAGGTAATAACCAACAAGAGGCAATGAAATTTTCACCAAGTGGAAATAGTGATGCATCTTTGGCAAATATACAAATTCCAGATTTTTGGTTAACATAGGATCCACAGAAATCATGGCTGAAACAATAGCATCAAACCGTTTGATGTGAATAGTTTCAAATTAGAAAACTGAAGCAGACTTCCAGAATATAAAGGGTTTTTTTTTTTTTAAATAAGAAAACTATAGCAAATGAGTATTCTACACTCTCCCCAAAATAGAAACTGAAGAGCAGACTGCTGCGCTATTTCTCTAAGAAAGCTGACTACTATTATATCCCCCAATCACATGCCAGCTGAGAAATTTGTTAGTAGAAAAAAAAAAAAAGTATAGTGAATTTAATGCTTAGCAATCACCCACGGCAAAATCTTTTGTTGTTGTTGTTATTGTTTTCTTTAAAAATATCTTCACTATAAAAGAAGACACAAAGCTATAATGCAGAGAAAAACTTAGAATTAAATTTAAGATTATTACTGAAGATATCTTTTGAAGATGCCATTTAGTACAGGCTTAACAAATTGCTTTTTACTGAAAGCTCTTTGGTACAATTGAATGACTTTCCTTCTCCAATGCAGCCATCAACTGCTTAAATCAATACTGACGAAACCATTCTGTACAATACCACCTGGGCTACAGAGAATAATTTTTCAATTATAGAACCGTACATATTAGACACAATGCAGAAAATATATACTAAGTGGCAAACAGATATTAAGAAATCTGCCTCTGATTGGAGCGCTAAACAGAGCAGAGAAATGGACTTTCAACTGCACATTACATTCTGAAGGGGCTCACAGGCCCACAACATGGCAAAAAATTAAAGAGAACTTGGGGGAATAAATCTCTGTGTCTCTACTAGGGAACAGGAAACCAATGAGCTTTGACGGATAGGGCTGTGATTGTTACATGATTTTGTGTGTAAATATGCCAAAAGATTGCTCAGCTGCCATAAAGCAGCGTGTACAATAATGAGAGAATATTAAAGAAGTTCATCATATTTCATAGAAAAGAGTTCTAGACAAAAGTCAAAACATCTAGGATGACTTTCTCAACAAACTCTCCAGTCAGCAAACAGTGAAGTCTTGGATTCTATCTTTGATAAGAGGATTCTTATTAGATGACCTCTAGGATCTCTTATGTCTTGTAGAATCTATGATTATATAACATAACTTTTATTTATGCATCTACAAAACAAATGACTTTACAAATGCATCTACAAAACAAATGATTCCAGATAAATGAAGGATTTTTAAACTGATGAATAAATAAATACCAATTAATTAGGCCCACTTTTTAAACTTGATCTTGTGTCTTTTTTAGAATTTAACAGATTATACACTATTATTTACTACTGCAAGAAGTGTCTGAGCTTTTGAATGTTTGTTAATAATAAGCATTCCATGCTATTCATGACTCTGATTGTAATATATATTGTTAATGGGGAAATTTTATTGCTATATTTGCAACAAATGAAAAAAAAATGTGATTAAATAAAATCCTTTAAAAATTTGCTATAGTTCACTAAGAAAGAAAACTAGAACAGAAACAAAATTGTATATTTAGTTCATCCCATAAAAATATTAGGTGAGTCTCCAGGGATGCAGAGAAAGAGAAAATTATAGTGTCTTTGCATTTCTTTTGTCATATCTTTGCTTCTGTTTTCATATGTGTAAGGTAGGGTGGGTAAGAGTGACTTCACATGTAGCTCTAATAAGACTATTAGAAAGAATAAGTAAGAATACATATTAGAGAGCATGGGAAACTGTCATAATTAATTAATTTTCATTAAAATTGATGTAGGCCACATTCTTTTTGAAAAGTTACAATGTGAGAGTCCTAAAGTCATTCACTGATACAGTACAAGGACATGAGAATTAGAGACTAAGTTGATTAGTCTCTTATTAACACAAGTGTGTTACACTTGATTATTATTACTTATCACTCAAATTAACTTTCTCTACATTTATATGTATATTTAAAATGTTTTTATTAATACTTCTAATATCAATTTAAGAATTATTAACATATTAATGCAAATTATTTTAAAGATTATGTAAAAATATGTATAATCTTAAAACAAATATAATAATATGTAAAATATTCCAATTATGAGTTCTTTTTTAAAAAGTAATAGAAAAAAATTAACTAAAAATAGTTATCTCACTGCTACAATCACTTATGTTCATGAACATCATATTATCACTTAACTTTTCAGAGCCCTTACAAAATTTTAATTTATATTCCACAAATGCTGCCTTTCTTAAAGTTCAGTGTTATTTACTATATTGAAGCATTCACAATCAACCAAGTACTGAAATTTTCTAATAACTGACTGACATTTCATTTAACCTTTTTAAATAAAATAACATATAGAATCTATTTCCTTGAATCGATATGCAAGGTGGGGCTAATCTTTACTTGATTCAACAACCCAGACATAATAATGTGGCATATCAGATGCTTTATTAATAAAAATATTAGTTTACTATTACTATTAGGGGAATATGAAGCCATGCATTTTTTCATGCAGTGTTCAATATTCAATTAAACATTACTAAAAATACATAACATGGTTATTTACTCAGCTAAAAAAAGTTCTTACAAACTCTTCTTAGTTCTCAGCCAAAAACAAATACCTTAAAAATACTCAGCTTCATCATCAGGATCTAATTGTGAGTATCTGTAAAAGAAAAACATTGAATTAGTAAGACTATATTTAGATTCTATAACTAAAATTAATGTTCACCTATTAATCATGAGATTTGAGATTAATGCATTTTCTTATAGACTATTTTTACTTTGTCATAGAATAACTTGTGGCAGACCAAATCTCCCTCCAAGAACAACTAAAAAAGTGGATAAAATATATTCTAAAATATATGTGTGTTTGAAGGTGTCAGAGAGCTACCTCAGGTAGGACTTGGGCAATCAAGATCATGAATACCAAGGAAACTCAATGAAGTGATCCTGACATCCCACCCCACGTTTTTGTCAAGCCATTTGCCCCAGTTATAAGCAGCATGAAATAAGGAAGTGAAAGGCCCCAAGCAGAGATTTTGAAAGTTTCACAGGCTTAGAAAAACAATTATTAGATTTTAGGGCTACAGAACTGCCATGACATGAGGGAACAAGATCTAGGAGTGGCAGCAATCCAAAGAATTGAATGTAACCTGAGCTGGTTCCCCATTTGAGAAACAGTCGGATTCCCTAGCCCTACAGATGAAACAGAAAACAGCAGCCAAGAAGTCAGGAAGCTGAGTAAACTTTTGCAGTCTTCCAGTGCCAGCAGAACAAGGTTCAGATTCCACCAACGAAGAGAGCCCACAAACACCTTAGGTTCTCAAATGAAACTATTTCTAAGAAAAAATAATCAGACCAAGTCTTGAGAAGAGTTAAATCCACTATTGAATCTGTCCAATCTTTAATTGAATCAAGATGATAGTTTCCTAATCTATATGTCTGCCACCAGCTAAGAAAATTCAAATAAATCAATGTTTAATATATCCTCTCTTTTGAAAAAAAAAAATCACTCAGATACTTTGTTTTTAATAGTCAATGTTTCAAAAATAATCAAAACTAAGCATTACAAGTAATGGGATATAGATTAGTGCATAAACATATTTGCTTGCTCTATCTGCTAAGAAAGCCGAAACATATAACGACTCAGTAGCGATGAACACACCCAGCATCCAGATTTTGCTTTTGAAAACCAATGAAAGGAACCAGGAGCCCTTAGAGACATGGCTGATTCTCATACTGAAACAGAGAGCCTGGGACATATTACGGCATCAGAAACTAAGGAAGTGCTAAAAATAAAAAGGAGACGGGTGGGGAGAGGGAATGGAGG